TGTCATTACACTCAAGCTAGGTTTCTAATGTTTTTCGAGTCAAATAATTGAATCAAATTTGGTTGCTTATGTTTTGCAGGGCCTTAAATGTTAAGAAGGAACTATAAAATTGGACCTTTTTTTCCTAAAAACATGTGATTATTCGACCTTCATTTGATAATTGAATCATATTTGGTTGCTAATGTTTTGAAGAACCCTTAATGTTTAGACAGAACTATGAAATTGGACCTTTTTTCCTAAAATCATGTGTTTTTCAAGGCTCATTTGATAGTTGAATCAAATTTGGTTGCTATGCAGAACCCTTTAATGTTAAGACGGAACTGTGTAATTGGACCTTTTCTCCAGGCGGCTGCCCGTCCTGCCCTGGCTCAGGGACAGGTATGGATTCGACTCATGGGTTCTTTTGGGAATTGTTTAAGCCATTCCCAGAGCCGTTTTTGACATTTTGGAGGCCCAGGGCAAAATGATATTTACAAAAATAATTTATTTATATAATTGTTAAATAGTTATGTAATTTGTTAATTCGTAAATAATTTTATATAATTTGTTAAATACTTTTTCCCTTTCTTTAATTGCACCATTTGGACATTTCATTCACATTTCTCTTTTGACATTCTTTTGAGATTTATCCATTAGAAAAAAAATATAATTAAATATCATATTTTTATATTTACTTAAATAAATAACTAGTAATCATTAATAAATAATAACCAATCAATAATCCATCAGTATATTGATAATTCTATTTTATATATATTTTTATTCCCCGTCCCACGCTCATATTGTGTATATTTGAGCTCTACGGAGCTATTTTTATTACTAATATACGTTTTCTAGTGTTTTTGTAGAGTTGGTATTATTTTGCAGGAATTTGCAGATTTATGATAATTCCCGAGCTTATTGAGCCACTACGAAGACATTAGAGTTTGATCGTATTTTATGACCAAATATATTAAGCCCAAGACCGAGTTAGAGGAATTTAATTTGGTAGTTAAGGGCTCGACTAAATGAAAAGATCCAAATTAATATCATGATCAAGTCCAAAAGAGGAGATTGGGCTTAAAGCTAGAGTAGTCCAATACCAAGGGAAACACTCAAGTCTAGCTTGCTGCCAGACAGTTGGGCCCGATCGGGCGAGGCCTGGCCCGGTCGAAAGGATGGGTGCTGCTCCAAATGTTGGGCCATTTTCTTCTTCTTGGGCTTGCTGATCTTGAGTTGTTGCTAATTCCATATGTCGGTTTGGCTTGTAAGGGAATTAGTGGGCTTTGTTATTAAAACCCATTATCTTTCCTTATGATAGTAGGTTTTTGGGACGTGAATCATTGGATAGCAATTTATTTTAGTTTCCTATTAAGCAGCTTTATAAGATTCTTAGGATTTCGCTTTTCGTGAATTTTTGTCTTTTTCTTCGTCAATTTGTTTTCCGTTAATTAGTGGTAGTAGCCAAGTTCTTGTTTTGGGAATTGTGATCATAAGCTTTAGTTATTATTTGTTTCTCCTTACGTTTTGTTTTCTTTAGTTAGGTTTATTGCTTTTCATTAGTTTATGTCTATTATCATATGTTTGCTTATTTTCATTGTTCATTCGTATTTCTTTAGAATTTCATTATTTATCTTTATTATTTTAGGTTTATTTTATTTTTTTTTTATGTTTATTTTAATCGCTTTGATTAGTTTAGTTTTAATTATGCACGAGTAGTTTAATTCAAGGGTTCTTGGGGATCCATGAATAATACGAAGGGGTAATTTATTATTGTTGATTATTGATGATTGGTTAATTTCCTATTGATTGATTTAATGCTATGCAATTAGATTTGCGCAGGTTTAATTGTATGAGTTTTGCAATATTGATTCGAGATTCGAGAGATGAGAATTGATATTTAGGCTTAGTTTCAATAGACATGTTAATCTATTAATGGTTAGGTCGAGATTCGAGAGATGAGATTTAATACCAGTAGATTAATTATGTGATTATAATACATAGCGACAGCCCTTTATAATCTGGTTAATTTATGCATTGATAATTGATCGTATGATTTACCCTAGAGTATTATTTATTGGTGAACCTATACCCTAAAGCTTTTTATTATTGATTATTCCCTTTGTTTAATTTGCTTAGTTTTACTATTAGTTTGATTCATACAAATATAAATTGGTTACGTGATAATTTAGATTATAATTGTTGATTAGGAATAAAAGAACATTATTTCCCTGTGAATTCGACCCTACTTCCCTATCTACTTTAGTTAGAGGACTTAGGAATTACTTTTGATTAGGTGATACGACTTAAGCCTGTCATATATATTTCAATAACTATGTACTTAATGACACTAAAAAAAATTCGGGTTGATTCTTGGTGTGATAATGCACCATTTTTTTTTAACCTTTTTTGTCATTCTCATGTGGAAAATATTTGTGTAAAATAGAAAGCATGTACATATGATTAGTAAAAAGAAAAGTCTAATATAATAAAATAATGAAAAAAATAATCACAATAAGTTTAATATTGATGTCTATATTCCATAAATAATTTAAATACTAGATTCGACTTGTGACTGGTCAAACAAGTCATCAATTGACTTTTACTATAATTAACTCTCATTTAAATAAGAATTGACTCAATTAAAAACAAAATGTAGCTTAATATTAATTTTAAATACAAAAAATTATTTTTAATTTTAATTATAATAAATACTTTTATAAAAAGATTGGGGTGTCGGGTTTAGAGTGGAGGGCTGGGTGGTCATAGGTTTGTGCCGACTAGGGTGGGTGGGAGTTGGGTGGGTTCGATTGATCGGCTAAGTTGGGGCTAGGTGGGAGTTTGCCACATAAGTGTGGTTTGAGAGTAAGGGCTGAGGTTTGGGTGGGAGTTCGCCAAATAAGTGGGGTTTGAGAGTTAGAGTTAGGGTTTGGGTAGGTGTTCGCTGGACTGGTTAGGATACTAGGGTGTAAAGTCAAAATGTATCTAATAAAAGGAACAGATGGAGTATTATTAGAGCAACTCCAATGGTAAGCTAATTAGCAAATTAGCTTTTTAGGCCACGTAAAAATTTAAAGCTAATAATTTTTTTGTATCTAGTTTGTGCCCTGGCTACTAGCTTGGTGTTTGCCAGAGACAAGAAGAATCTGTTGTCATGCATGCGTTAAAAATTGCTGTTTAGCCCGAGCAATTTGGAGTAAGTGCAATTATTCAATGATTTTGTCTCACTATCTTTGTAGTATGGGTGATTGGTGGGAGCACTGTTTTGGTAATTTTGGAGAGGATATGGTGAGTTTAATTAACATGTGTTGCGCTATGTGGGGTGCAAGGAACAAATGGATGATTGAGGGTGAGAATCCGAATGTTGAGCAAATGGTTGCCTATGCTTTGACATTAATACAAAGGGGCATGAGTTGCAAAAGTTGAATAACATGGGGAATGGAGGGATCGAAAAGGGGTCTCTATGGGCGGGTCTCCTTCGGCATATGGTGTGGTTAAGTTATTGTTGATGTTGGTGTTTTAGGGGAGGTGGGGACGGGGCTGGGTGTAGTCTGCAGGAATAATGAAGGGGTGGTGCTTTGGGGAGCTACGGTGTAGTGGAGTGAAAAATGAGAGACTAAGATTGGAGAGGTGAAAGTAGTATTTTGGGCAAGAAGATTGCGAGACACAAGAGTATGAGTTGCATTGGGATCGAGAGTAATAATCTTGTGGTGATTGAGGCAATGAGAAAGCGTTTGTATGGCTCCAGTTCCTTTCATCTGATTACAAAGGATATTCTAGATTTTTTTCCTTTTTCTAATTTTACTAGTGATTCATGGTCTTTTGTAAAGCGAGAGGGATAATAATGTAGCACACAAATTGACTTACTTTCAACCATGGGAGTTTGGCCAATGGGTGGAGTGATGTAATCCCTCCTTGCATTTTGGAAATTTCTTCGGTTGATCTAGATGGGTTTTTTTTTTCAAAACAAAAAAAAAAAAAAATTAAAGTTGTCACTTTCAAAGTTATTCACTAATAATTTTCTGTTTTATACAGATCACTAACCAACTCATATAATTAACTAACTCATACAATACTACACTTGCTACTCTACAACTGCATTTATAATAAAATGTAGGTGACCATCCGCTGATGTTAAAACCGCAAAGGTAACACTACCTATATAATTGTATAGTTCACATGACACAATTAATTTGTCATAATGGCCACGACAAAAGAGACATCATACTTTCCTTTCATTTGTTGTAAACTCAGTTTAATTAATGTACTTTCAGCTTTTTTCAAAATTAAAAAAAAAAAAAAAAAAAACTTACAAACAAATTATACAAGGTTTGGTGTGTGAAGATAGCATTTGAGAAATGGAAGTGCAAAGATAAACTAAAAATCCGTACTTTTTAAAACAAGTTTACTCTAAACCCTTATAAGGTCTGCCCTGCCTCATAATTAGACAATCGTATAGATTTAGGCCTTGTTTAGTTCACCTTATTTTAACTTATTTCAGAAAAAATAAGTTCAGATCAGATCAGAATAATAAGTTCAGATCAGATCAGAAAAAATAAGTTCAGATCAGAACATCGTTTTACGTGCGGTTTTTCATCGCTAAATATTCTTAAATTCGTAATGAAAAAAATTGTGAAGATTACATATTAATAAACTACAAGTTATTACAAATCTAACAAGATCCCACATGATATATTTTTTCCTTATAGATTATTGTACACTTAAGGTCAAAATTTGGTCAAATCAGACAATTAGATCAGATCAGACCAGATCAGCAAAAATAAGGTGAACCAAACAAGGCCTTAGCCTATTTATTTATTAGACGAATCTAACCCATTAATAACTGTGGCGGGTCATGGGTCATGGCTTTTAATAGGGATCCAGGCGTCCAACCATTGAATTGCTCTATTGAAGCGCATTCAACGTTCTCCATTGAAGCGCAGTTGCCGTTCGCCGTTGAAATGGGCGGATCTAGCGTGGGTTCATTGAACCCACTGAATTTTTGAAAAAAAATTAAAAAGTTTTTTGTTTGTAAAAAAAAAAGTGAAATAGGTTTAAATAGAATATTTGTGTATTAAATGGCATCAAGTGAAGCTGTAGCCCAGTGGTATTTTTTACTTCCCATCACACAAGAGTTGTGGGTTCAAAACCCATAACTCACACTTCTTTTTTTCTTTTTGTTCCTGTTTTCGTCAAAACTTAGAATGCTTACTGGCTTCCCTCTTCCTCATTCCCCCAAATTGCAAACCCTAACTTATTCCTCCTTCTCTTCCCGAATTCCCGTGTTCCAGAGTACCGGACTTCCGGCTGTCCGCACTCCGCCGCATCCGAGCAACGCAGCCTCGCAGTCGCAGTCCCTCAGCCTCGCAGAGCCCCTCAGTCTGGTAGTGCCGTACAGCCGTAGTGAGGTAAGGGATTAAGTGAATTTGGGGATTATTTTTGCTAATGTAATTTACTCTCAATTTGTGGATTTTTTTTGCTAAATCGTTAATTTCATATGCTAATATAGTAATATACATTACGAATTTACTTCTCAAGTTCTCAATTTGGGGATTTTTTTTGCTAAATCGTTAATTTCATATGCTAATATAGTAATATACATTACGAATTTACTTCTCAAGTTCTCAATTTGGGGATTTGTTTTGCTAAATTGTAGAATTTCATATGCTATTTGACCGTATATTTGACTAATTTGAGTATTTGAGCCGTAATGCCGTATAATAGTATAATTTCTGTTTAATTTATACTGATTTATTACTTGATTATTTCTGATATTCTTTTTCATTGATAATTTGATATTGTCATATTGATTATTGAATTTATCATTCATTCATTGATTTCATTCTGCAATCTGCATTTATCATGTGTGAGTAGGACTGTAGCAGACAAGCAGTATATGCCATTATACCATGAGTTTAGAGTCATTTTGGAAACGTGCCGGGAAGTCACAAAAGTCTTCAACTTGTTCTTCACCTAGTTAATTACAATTTCAAACTTCCGAAGTTTCGAACCCACACTTCAAAAATCCTGGAGACGCCACTGCGTTGAATCTAGTTCTTGTATCCCCCATTGAAGCAGCTTCTGAGGTAAGTTGTTTGTATTTGTTATCATCATATCAAATATCACTAAAATTATGAGATAATTGAATCAAATATCCCTAAAATTATGAGATAATTGAATCAAATATCCCTAAAATTATGAGATAATTGAATGAAATTTGGTTGCTAATGTATTGCACAACGCTTTAATGTTAGGATTCAACTATGAAATCAGAGCTCTTTTCCCTGGGCCCAGGGCTGCCGCCCCTCCTGCCCTTCCTCAGGGACGGGCCTGGCCATTCCTTAAGTGAGAAATGGTCTGATGAAGAAGAAGCAGATATAGAGGGCACAAAAGGTAGAAAGAAATATGTTAAAGATGAAGAATTTGGGGTCTTGGATTTATATAATAAGAATTGTCAGCAAAGTGGTGAGTACGATAGAAGATATGAAATGGATGAAAGTGAATTAAGGCATCCATTGGTGAGAGAAATTTGTAGGCTGGTTGGGCTGAGATTGAATTGGAACCCTGACCTTGAAGGCCAGATGAAGAATTTATTGAGAAGCCTTAAACCCCGTCAAGTTTGCGCAGTTCTTCATTCTCAAGATGATGAAAGGGAAGCTTTAGAGTTCTTCTATTGGGCTGACAGGCAATGGCGTTATCGCCATGACCCAGTTGTGTACTATGCTATGCTTCAAATTCTCGGCAAGACTAAATTATGTGAGGGTGCTCGGAGAATCCTTCATCTTATGCGTAGGAGGGGTATCCATCGCACTACAGAAGATTTTCAATATTTGATGATTTCTTATAGCAGGGCAGGGAAAGTAAGGCATGCTATGGGGGTTCTTAGAATGATGCATATGGCCGGGGTTCAACCTAATCTATCTATATGTAACACTGCCCTTCATGTTTTAGTGATGGAAAACAGGTTGGACAAAGCATTGAGATTTTTAAAGAGGATGCAAATTGTTGGAATTGCCCCGGATGTTGTTACATATAACTGCTTAATTAAAGGTTATTGTAATTTTAATCAGGTGCGAGATGCTATCAAGTTGATTGAGGATATGCCTCTAAGGGGATGCACACCGGATAAAGTTAGCTTTTATACAGTAATAAATTACTTTTGTAAGGAGAAAAACATGTCTGAGATACGGGTCCTACTTGAGAAAATGACGGCTTGTAAGTTGTTGCTAGATATGGTCACCTATAATAATCTCATTCATATGCTTTGCAAGTATGGACACAGTGATGAGGCTTATGGTTTCTTAAAGGAAGCACAGGAGAGAGGATTTCGGGTGGACAAAGTTGGTTATACTGCGTTGGTTCACTCTTTATGTCGGGAGGGAAGGATAGACAGGGCAGAAGAAATTGTTAATGAGATGTTTGAGAAAAACTGCATCCCAGACGTAGTGACTTACAGTGCTATTGTAGATGGATTTTGTAGAGCGGGGAGGGTGGATGAGGCTAAGGAAAAGCTCCAGCAAATGTACAAGAATGGCTATAAACCAAACACTGTATCATACACAGCCTTGCTGAAAGGCCTTTGTCAATTTGGTCGAATTTCAGAAGCTCGAGACATGATCGATAAGAGTGAGGAGGAATGGTGGACCCCAAATGCCATCACATACAGTGTTGTGATGCATGGTTTCCAAAGAGCAGGAAAATTGTCTGAGGCATGTGATGTGGTTAGGGAGATGTTGATGAAAGGTTTTCGTCCAACTCCTGCTGAAATCAATTTGTTGCTTGTATCGCTGTGCAGAGAAGGAAGAACAGATGAGGCTAAAAGGTTCATGCAAGATTGTCTGAGCAAGGGATGTGATGTAAATGTTATAAACTTTACAACTGTTATTCAAGGACATTTTCAGAAGGATGACTTCAATGGTGCTCTTTCTTTACTTGATGATATGTATTTGGTCAACAAGAGCCCTGACATTGTGACATATACAACAATTGTTGATGCAATGGGCAGAAGAGGAAAATTTGAAGAGGCAACTGAACTTATAAAGAAAATGCTGGGGAGGGGCATACATCCAAATCCTGTTATGTACCGAATGATAATTCATCGCTATTGTCAGAATGGCAGGGTGGAAGATTTGTTAAAACTGTTGGAGAAGTTGCTGCCAAAGCAGCCCTACCAGACTGCTTATAATCAAGTTATTGAAAAGCTTTGTAGCTTCGGGTATGTAACTGAAGCTTACGGCCTTCTGGGTAAAGTTCTGAGAACGGCTTCAAGGATCGATGCTCAAACTTGCCATGTGCTTCTGCAAAGTTATCTGAAGAGAGGAAACCCTCTTTTGGCATACAAAGTTGCTTGTAGGATGTTTAGGCGGAACTTAATACCTGACCCAAAGTTATGTAAAAAGGTGAGCAAGAAACTGACATTAGATGGAAATATCAAAGAGGCAGATAGTCTTATGGTCCAGTTTGTTGAGCGTGGCCTTCAATCTCCTTGTTGAATAACTTGCTGAACGACCAAGTACTTGTCTGTGTGTGATCGAAGATTCGCAGGCTTTCTTTCTGGAGCCAGTTGTCATTTTCTCCGACCACTATTTTTGTCAAGGTGAGAAAAAGTTTGAGTTTCTCTTACCAACCTTTAAACTTCTTTAGTCAGTCTTAGTAAAGTCTTAGTAATATCTGGCTGATACCTATAAGTACTTCTGTTTCCTTCCCTATAATTAATATAGGCTCTTTTTAAACCTCTCTTTTGTCTTCCTTTGAAAGAAGCTCTCGGACTTGGGACTTTGTTTACTCTGTGATCAGGCAACGGGAATACTCAAGACCTAAAGTTGGTAATGTCTGAGGTTGAGAAGTAGCAGCTGGAGTGCCTTATGTCACTCTATACACCTCTTTTGAGTGGTTAGTACAAATGTATCAAGAAGTAGGGAATTGTGTTCCTTCCATTGTCATTTCATCTCCTCCTCATCTATTTGCTTCTCTAGCTAATGCTGAGATTCTTAGATTCCCTCACTTCTATTTCCTTCTCTCCCCTTTATCTCCCTTTATATGAACCTAGCATGATGATTTTACAGGCAATTGTTCTCATCCGTGATGTGAATGAATCCAGAGTTAGAGGCTAGTTTGGTGTGGGAAATTATTTCTGTGGATTTATGGACTATTAGTTTAATTCTATATGATCTGCATCACTTATAGCGTATTCATGTCTTGTATAATTGATATATATTTTCCATGTTTATTTCATTGTCCTTGGCTTTTTTCTTTTTCTTTTTTTTTTCTTTCCTTTTTTATTCTTTTTTTTCTTTTTGCATTTTGCATTTTTGTTTGTCAAGCAATGATTCTGAGTGTCTTTATGGAGCGACGTGCTCTTTCAAAAAGTATGTACAATGTTATAATGCTCTTTACATCCTTACTATCTAACAAGTCCTAGTATTTTTTTTGTAGGTCATAATGTGACAAAAAATACATCTGGAAATCCTTTAATGGAATTTGAAGCCAAATCTGCTAGGATGGGGCATGGTAAATAGATCTCCTATTTAAATATTGGTAGTTTTTTACATAGTTAATCTTTTGGTATCTGAATATATTTATATTATTCATCTATTAGCCTATTAGGTATAATGTTCAAGCATTTCATTCTCATAGATATCTTAGGATTGGTAATCCTGTAGTGTTTGGTAGTCCCTTATTCCTCTGATTTTCATTATTCACTTGTAGAATTGGAGAAAAAACGTAAATTTCCTGGCCTTGCTGTCATTTGCATTGTGAAATAATTACAAGAAAGACTTGGTATTAATTTTTAAAATTACGTAGAGACTATGAAAATATGTCTTTTAATTCACTTTTCTACCCATTTTCCTCATTGCCATTATATTTTGTAGTCCTCCTCCCTTAGGGAGTGGGGGCATTTGCAATTTCAAACTTTTGCCCCCACATTTGTTTTAAATCACTTCTTCTGGTGGTGAGTGATAACAACACTAAAAGATGGGTATGGACTCTAGAGGCTAGTATGAAAAAGGAGGTTTCATGTTTGAATCTTTTGTTTCCTTAGATTTTTAATTTTTATAATAGATCGAAAGATACAAGTTTTTGGGCGATTTTTGGAAAATGACCAGATTCCGACCTTAAAATGAAATTTTTGTTGTGAAAAGGGACCTTCAGCCACATTCCAACCTTTGACTATTATTTTCCGACGGTGACTGTCATGTGCTAAACTTGAAAATTTTAATCAGAGTCGGTTTATGCCCTTCCTTTTCTAGTGTAACCACAATGCCCACCACCAAATCATCACCATTTCGCCACTTTCCCACCACCATCACCTTATCTAGCTGTTCGTCTCAACACTATCTCTTTCAACTTCTTCTCTTCCACCATTACTACTCACACTAAACCATATAAAATCAATTGAGTCAAATGAAAACCCCTTATTTTCTATCATGAATTAGAAGGATGCTCCATGAATAATCCTAAGATTGCTACCAAATGGGGATAATAAAGAGGAGATAGAATAAAAGAGTTGTGTGGGAGGCTGCTGGGTACGATGGGTCGCCAATAGGTAGCAAATTTATGAGGTGTAGTGAAGGCACAATGTGGCTACAATGGTGGGCATTAAGGGAGGAAAAAGAAAGGGAGATATAAGGGTTAACGGGGTGGTGTTTGGGTGGCACTCAAGGGTAGCGATGGTTTGTAATAAGTGGGAAGGGATAGTTGGCATTGGTTTGGGTGAAAAAAAAAAGGTAGAGGACAAGAGGGTTAAAAGTGAGGGAGGAGTAAGATGTCAAGGTTAAGTTGATATAGTGTTTTGGGGTGGCGGGTGAGAGTGGATAGTGGTGGGATAATGGTGGGCTAGTAGACATGGTGGTTAAGGAGGAGAAAGGGCGCGTGAGGGTCAACATTGGGAAAACCAAACAATTCATTTAAGGTCTTTATTTGCCACTTTTTTTATTTTTATTTTTTATAAAAGGACTTTTCTCACAAAAGGTCTACTTTATTAAGTCCTTTTCTAACAAATTTTAAAATTTTTTAATACCTTTTAGCTAGCCTTTCTTTTTCCTCTTATCTCAGTTTGTTTATGATAATCTTTGATCATGATTCATGAAATAGCTTACCTTAATTATTATTCTGAACAATAGAGAAAACTTCAGGAGCAATTTGGAATCAAGTAAGATATGCAGCTCACTTTAATTAATTTATCTCAACATTCTTCAAAATATCCTGATATATACCTTATAAAATTAGCATATTCATCAAAGCTTAATAACTTGCCAATTATAATAGAATTGGTTTTCCAGATACATGAGTCAATATATATTGCTGATATTAGTTAACTGAGTCCTTCTTGGTTCTCCGGTGGATCCATGATGAGGTATGTCTAGTTTGTTGTTGGTCTTTGGTCGTGCTGCCTTATTTGTTGTTGGTCTTTGGTCATGGTGCTTTATAATAAACCTGATATAACTTGGCTCCTATTCAGAGTTGTTACTAGTTTAGGGGGTTGACCTATCTACATCTTGGCTCATTTGTGAAATCCTAAGTGTGATAATCTTGCTGTTGATAAACTTGTAACTCTTTATCAGATATGTGCTGAATAATTCTAGAAGTAGCATTATCATGGTTTTCTTGTCTATTTTATCACTCTTCTATTTATCTTGCATTTTCGTGTCGACACTCGACACTCGACACTGCAACAAGGGTATGAAATCCTTATCCATCACTTTGTTTTGATCCAGACTCCTCAAGGATCTTGATTAACATACTTTTACAGTTTGTTGGGATATAGAAAAGGGAAGGAAAAGAAGAGAGAGAGAGAGGGGGGGGGGGGGAGGACTGGAGGAGAGAAGGGAAAGGGAGGGGGAGGGAAGAATAATGAATTTTCCTTCCAAATCTGTCCATTGTTGGAGAGATCAAATTCTTACAACAACTCCCTCCATTTCTATTCCCTTCTTTTCCCTCCCCTCCAATTCCCTTCCTTCCTTATTTGTTATCCAAATGAAAGAAATTCAATCCCTTCATTCCCCTTCCCTTCTTTTCCCTCCATTTCTTTCAATCCAAAGACACTCTTAGAAAAAAACTATAAAATAGAAGGAAAGCAAACAGAGTCTAATACATGTGTGTATCTGTAATGTGAATTGATATGGAAAAGTCGTTTAGATCCAGGAATGTGTTTCATTAATGCTTTGTCCGTGCATCCATGTCCTAAATTGGAATCTTTGCGTGTCTAAAACTCGAATGTACTCATACCCGAAACTCGTACCTGTGTCTGAGTTACATAGCTTTTGTGACGAATAATGTCTTTCCAGTATGATCTGTATCAACTTTCCAAACTTATGGGTTTCAGGAAGTTCTAGTTCGATTTTTTGTATTTGGGCCAGAAGAGGATGAGTGGGTTAATGTTCGCAAACATGTAAGACAGAGGACTCTTCCATGTGAATCATCAAGTGTGTTGCAGTTCTTCTTTGGGATCTCATCCTCTGCTTTCAGGTAGTATTTGATCATACAGTTGTGACATAGAGTTGGCTATACATTCTGATATTGTGCATTTGTACTTCAAATATTATTCAGGAAGGTAAAGAGCAGGCTCTTTACTTTGATGCTCAAAGGCAATACATGCTACAGGTCTCTGATCCGTTACGATCATGATCATTCTTGAGGTACTTCTGCACATCCATGTTTCCGCTACTCATGATACTCTACAAGATCTCTAAATGTAAGTGATTCCCATCGGAGATGAAATATTGCCTCTGCTTTGAAGCTGTAGAAAGCAATGCCTGTAATTTGAAGGTTTAAGGTTTTACTCTTATGCTGATTTGTTACAAATCATAGTTAAAACTTTTTCTTAAACAAAATTAGAGGCCTTTGTGATAGCTGCATTAATCAAAGTTGAGACCCTTTGCTTATTATCTATCTGCAAGAACCTAGACTGCCTGTCTGGCTAACTCTTCTCTCGATATATCTTTACTTGTGTATGGTTAACATCGTCTCCTTATATAACAAGTTGTTTGTTGCCTGTACATTTTGTTTCTACATGAAATGACTGATATCTTTGCCTTGCATGTTTTTCTATGTGATGAACGGCTGATCCCTTCACCCTCACCCGCCCCAACCTGATAAAGATGAAATAGTCCTACAACTAGAGTTAATACTTTTGCAGGTTTGACTTATGTCGGTAGGTACAGTTACTTTGTTGATCCCTTACCTCTCATAAACATGAAAGAACTAAAGCTTTAACCGTAGATCTGAGTTAATGTGTAGTTTTGTGGGAGATATGAGAATATGGCAATAGTGCCATGAGAACATGATGTATGACAGTGTAAATAGCTGACATTTTTTGTCAACTGTTATTACACTTAAGCTGGTAAGATGCCCATTGTAATAGATGCTGCAATAAGTGTTCAGATTGCCCTTCTTCAGATCTTAGTATTTATTTGTAAGATTTAGCAAGGAAATCTTTGGAGGTTTACTCCTATTATGCAAGCTAGTTGTGTGGTGAAAGTGAATCCAGTAACGGGGTAATGCAATGGGATTCAAATTCTCAGTTCTAAATGTTGTTAGAATTTGTCCATGGAGTTTTACCTGCTCTATAGGTTTTTCAGATATGTGACATCATCAAATTTTTAATTTAATTTCATGCAGCTGCATTTATTGTTATTGTTTTTATAATGCAGTGTTTATCTTTGCAGGCCAACCTTAGACCAACATGGTAAAGTAGTATAGACAACATTTCATGATATGAGAGCTGGAATCAGATTTTTGCGTTGTATACTGCACGGTTGCACCTAAGGGCTTAGTTGACTGAGGTGGCAATGTTGATTGTTTACCTAATTTGCTTATTGCCCTGCATCCGTATCTGATGGTGCTTCACTGCTTCCTGATGGTGGCAAGGGAATGTTTTTGGCACCTACTTTATGCTAGGAAATACCCTATTGTTACCTGTTTCGTCTCTTTATTAACCCAATTCTATGGGATGTCACACCTGTATGGCTATATCTTGTAATGGGTATGGTATGATATATGCATGCAGTCTCAAGGTATCAGTCTACTGAATCCCTGGTCTATACACAGGATCGTTATAATTATAGGTGGACTGAGCAATAAATTAACACGTGCAGGCATTGCATGTCTACTAACAATTAGAATGTCGGTTGCTCTTCAATCTTAATGAGATGATGGTCATTGTTTGAAGTTATTTCTGGGAGAATTATTATCCTTGTTCAATAATCAAGGTGTTATGTGAGATTTTACAACCGGCTTATCTATGAACGTAGCACTTTTAGCAATAGTTTTTGTATTCCTTTGTGCTGATGCAGGTGTCCATTTAAGGTTTGCCTTAATGTTCATTTACCAATCTTTTCATATTATAGTTTCTAAAATTTATCTTGCACTGCCATTTTGAAAAAGCCAAATGCTCATACTCTCGTTTGCATTCAGTCTCGACTTTGTATCAGAAAATATTTTCAAACTCGAATAAAATTCATAAAATTTGCAAAATGTTGCATTTTAGGCATGCGTGATTATTTTTTAATGTCTCTATAATTTACAAAACGCGCCTTTCGCTGATTTTCCTTGGCAACAAGTATTTTATAACTGATTTTGATGAGTTCTATCGTGGAACAACTGTTTTACATTGGTTATTAAGTGTAATCTCTCCCAACCGTCATTTCATTGGCAACATCATTCGACTCATACTCATTTCCGAGCCACTCCTACCCTCTCACTCAAACTAAGTACTAGTAAATTTTCTCATGCTCTCTGGTTCTTTACACCCATATCTATTTACCTTATCGGCTTATTCAAAAAACTAGCCAACTAAACTGAAAATCATCGCCATCTTTGTTGGCCTCTTGTCCAGCCTCTCGTCTGCTCTTTCTTGCAGAAAAAACTCCACAAGCCTTTCTGCTGCTGCTGTTGGCTTACATTCAATGTGACACTCCTGCCACCCCCACTATTGTTGAATTAGACCTTCCACAAGACTTTTGTTTAAATTCATACATGTTAGGATTTAATATCTGACAGGATAAAATCGTATCACCAAATCAAAAGTAATTCCTAAAATCACTAACTAAAATAGATAGGGAAGTAGGGTTGAATCCAGGGAAACAATGTTCTTTTATTTCTAATAAATTATTATAATCTAAATTATCAAGAAACGAGTATTTTTGTAAAAATAATACTTAGACAATAATTAAACTAAGGGAAATAATCAATAACAAAAAGTCTAAGGTCATAGGTTTACCAATAAATAATATTCCGAATGAAAGACAACAATCAATTATCAATGCATAAATTTACTAAACAATCAATTTTGATTCGTATTATAATTACAAAATTAACTTAGCGGCATTAAATCGCATCTCTCGAATCTTGACTTGACCATTTATAAATTAATTCTACCTATTGAAACTAGGTCTTAATATTAATTCTCATATGTCGAATCTCGAATCAATATTGCGTAACTCATACAATTAAACCTGCGCAAATCTAATTGCATAGCAATATAACAATCAATAGGAAATCAACCACAACATTAACAATCAACAATAATAAATCATCCCTTCATATTCATGGATCCCCAAGAACCCTAGAATTTAACTACTCTTGCATAATTAAAACTAAACTAATTAAAGCAATTAAATTAAACATAATTAAAAACAATAATATTAAACTAATAAGAAAGCAATTAAAAGAGAACTAAATTAAAAATAAAACAAAGATGTAAAATGTAACATCGAAACCAAGTATTAACTGTTAAACAATCAAGAACAAAGAAAAACAACGTTTAACGAATTTAATCCTAAAATAATTAAACTAAAAGGCATAAAATCCAAAACTAACTAACTAATGAAAGCTGTTAAGAAAAGTCAACTTAAAATTTCTAAGCTAATAACTAAAATAAAAAGTTGCGGAAAACTAAATTACAGCTAATACTAAAGAAAAGTAATAAAGCTGACCTCCCCCCAATTCTCCTACTAATGGGATTTATATAATAAAGCCCCCTGAAAACGCATAACTGACATAAGTAAATCAACAACCCAAAGTTTACTCTTGCCCGATCGGGCCCGCCTATTCTCACGCCAAAATAGCTGATCACTTGGGGTTAGGCTTTCATTTGCTTCAGGCCCAAACCTCTCTCTAATCACTACTTGGCTCATCTAGTAAATTATGATACTTGTTTGGTCCGTACTAGTAACATGAACTTCGTAGCTTGCTTATTTAATCGAGCCCTTAATCACTGGACCAACTTTATCTAGTTCTGTCTTGGGCTTTTAACATACAGTCATAAAATACAATCAAATTCCAATATTTTCGTACTGGCTTGATAAGCTCGGAAATTATCATAATTTTGCAAATCCCTACAAAATAATACCAACTCTACAAAAACACTAGAAAATGTATATTAGTACTAAAAATAGCTCAGCAGAGCTCAAATAAGCACAAATATGACCGTGGGACGGGAAATAAAATATTTATATTTATATATACCTCCCCTTCACTTATATGATAAAGATAAAGAGTAAAAATTTGAGTGAGAAAAGATGTAAGTTAAGTGATTATAGAGACTAGAGAAAGTAATTAGCTTTAGAAAATAGCTAAAGAGCATCACTCATGCATAATTTAATTACTATATAAGTCATTGTCTTGTCTTTTTAGTTGACCTTAAAGTCATCATGTGGCTCTGGGCCAACACTCAATAAAGTAGAAGGCCTAATTTTTATAACACGTTCATTTGGTGATTTGAAACAGGCGAACAGCTAGCCCATGGTACAATTTTTTCAACACGTTCATTTTTATCGAGACTTTTAAAAACTTGATTTGATAAATATGTTTTTTTTTTTTTATACTCACGTTTTTAAATTTTAATCCATTTAATTCACTTTGCTAGTTTGCTTGATTTTATTTTTACTTACCCCTTCTCCACACATTTCTAAACATAGACCCTTGTAAAAGGGCAATGGGAAGGGGAATATGGTGTAACACTCGTGACTAAATAAGAAGTTTTTGTGTTACTAATAATTCAAATAAGAAGAATTTTTTATTTTATAGAGCTCATGTGCTATATTTCCCCTATAATTAAGCGTATTTAGCTTGAAGTAGACTTGGTAGCAATGATCGCTTTGAATATCTAAACTTGATCTGGGATTATGAAATCATTCATACTAAAAAATGGACATACTTGAGGTGACTTGAATTGTGTTTTACTCAACCCAAATAAACCCATGAAAGAGGGGGAAAAAAAAACAAAATATTGACTTGATAAGATAAATTTAATAAGCTTATGGTAACTTAGATATTTAATTGGAGCTTATCTAAGCTTATTTAAGTTTATTAAAACCAACTTGAACTTATTGGCCAATACAAATTAGTTCAAGTAAAATTTTAAATAACGTTTTAAATTATTTGCAAACTAATTGATTTACCTTATTTATTGGTACAAAATGAACCCTAGAGGTATTAAATTCTAAAACTTTAAACTAAGCTACTCAGCATATGGTAACTACACTAAGTGTTTCTTTTGGTTTGACTAACCACATAAATTATGAACGTGGACATGTACACTAAGATTTTGACCACAAAGAGAACATTACATAAAAACAGAAAGTTGGCTAAATGCACACATATATACAGCAAAACTACAGAAGATATCCTGCATTTGAATTTTTCTACTTTACAACAGAAAGTTGGCTAAATGGACACATATATACAAGAAACAACATGATCAGACTCAATTTTCTTCATCGAAATCAAAAGTTTGCCGCCTCCTGAGCGATTCTATTACAGCTGCAGATTTATGTCCCCTAGAAAGCCCAGCTCTTTCTGAAGTTAATCTAGGTACATTAAGCAAACTCAATGGTGGTGTTGCAGCTCCTTTGTTTACTTCCTTTAATACAGATTTGACAACAGTTGCAGCTGCAACATCTGCCATTGCTGAAGCCACCTTTGAATCATGATGCAGTTTCTTTGACAACTTATTCTTCTCATTTGTTGTATCTGGCGCACCAGGTGTATGATAGCTTTGTGATCTATGCATAGTTGCAATGGCCTCTGTAGCCGTTGTTTTAGCCTTGACAGTTTCATATTTTTGCATGTCGTAAATAAGCTCTTTCTGTAGCTGCTTATCCGCAACCAATAAGTCTTCAATTTCATTCTTGTAGTCCTTGAGAAGCACACGTAGGCATTCCATAAGGGAACCAATGAGAGGGCTGTTCTTATTCTCTAATAAGCGCTTTAACTCTATAAATATGGGAATGGTGTTTTGTATAAGACCCTTCTTGACTGCTTGAGTTATTGCTCTTCCTCTGGCAGCAGCTGTGGATGCTGCATTGCCATCTCCCCCTTCTTCATCCATTTCAGCCTCTGATGTTGCCGCACAGCTTGATGGAAGACGTAGCTCTTTGCAAGTGAGAATACGGAAGGCATCCTGATTATCACAAAGATCACATCATGAATCAATCTAACACATATTGGCTGAGGCTATCACTTAATTCAGTGAGAAGACTGGGAATTAAGAGCTAAAAGCCTAAAACACTAACTTCATCGATATCCATCTGAATAAAGAAAATATAGTGATGACTGCCCTCAACAATTTTGATCCAGTAATTGAAATCAGATTAAAATCATTGAATCTTTTTTAGATCAAGCAGCATTTCTCTTATATTTGATATCAGGAGATTTGTATTACTCCCTCCATCGCTAAATAATCAAAATATTACATCTTGGCAAGGTTTTTATATATATATATATATATATATATATATATATATATATATATATATATATATATATATATATATATATGACAAAAGAAGGGAGAAACAGAAAGAAATGATATTTTTTGCTTTTTGGAAGAGAACAGAGAAAGGGAAGACCCATGTACCAGTAAAGAGATGTTTAAACTACAGCACAAAGAGAGAAGAGAAAACTGGTACCTGTAAGACAGACTGTCCTCTAACATCATCTACGCTGAGGATTCCATCAGATGCAGCAGCAAGGATTTCAGCACATATCTTTGCAAATGTGGCTAATAGATGCTCAGGAGCCATTTGCTTCAACAAAGAAACATATATGTGCATCCTTCTAGACCTTGTGTTCTCATCGTTACCTCTGATGGTATATGTTAAAAGGATGTGGGTCAGATAGAAAAATAGACATATCTTATACTCCCATCTTTTGTTTGTATTGTATAAAAAACATCCATTTTGTCTGGCCCATGCATATTGTCAAGTTTCAAAATCGAAACTAAACAATGACACCATCAACTACCAATGGAAACATTGTCCATTGTCTTCAAAGATATTAATAAATTCCTCAATTTGATAATACAAATAGGAGTACATTGAACCATAATTTCATTACCTGATTGAGAAAAGTCTTCTCTCAACTCTTGAATTTTGAGATTTGTTATTTGTCACATAAGCTTGACAGTCATTTAGAACAAATACGGCTTCTACAAAACTGTTGTAGGCTAAAAGAGGAGCCTTGGCTGAAAGATGAAATAGAACAAGGGTCAGATCTCTCAAATAAAGCCTAGTTTGGAATGCTTATGAAACTGCCAGAATAATAAGAAAATACAAATTAATAAAATAAAACCTTTTAAAATATTTCCAAACAGAAAATCAGCAAGCTGTCTGATTTTATCTGATTCATCATCAAGAGACAACAGAAACCGCAAGAAAAGTACCCCTCTCCACTTAACATAATCAGTCTGCAAATTTATAATATAGAAACTTACACTTTAATTAGGTTGCATATCAAGAGCACAAAGAGTTTTATACAATGATACCCGTGTTAAGACAAAAAAAATGTACCTGCAGTAATCTGGAGAGTAATATGAATGTTTGCCTTCTGACAAGTTCACAAGTGTCGCGAAGACACTTTGTAATTTTTGCTATGTAGCTGTTGATTTAGAGATATGGTCAAGTGGTAAGTACAAGAAACAATGTGAAAAGTAATCAGTGTTTTGTACAGAATATTTGCATGCTTACCAGTCAACCAATGCAGTGTAACGAACACAAAAATCTGCCATAATTACAACAATGTTGTTCCTAAGTGCAGCACAATCACTTTTTTCAAGTTCCTACAACAACAGATGATAGAGAGACAGAAAGATCAAATTCTTAGAATTATTAGACACTAAAAGGCATCATGGTGTTGAATAATACCTGATTCAGGATTATTTAGCAAAATATGCTAATTTACATGAAACCTTCCAGGCAACATAAAACAGAAAAGGCATACACTTGCATAGGGCAAATTTCTTGAGAGCTCGCTCTAATATGTAGAAGTTTTTACTGTGATTTTACTTAGTAACTTATATTGTAATTGTTTTTACTATCATGTTGCCTCATAAGATCAATGGAGTAAATATATTGTACAATTGTGTATGTCACCAGATCCCAAAACACTTTTTGCCAAACACTATCTTCTTCAACAAAATAAACAAATAAATAAATCGTTGTTGCTATTCATTTTTTTTTTTTTGTAGTGTAATGTAAGCTGTAAAACTCAACAAACCTGTACGAACAATGGGATATATCTTTTTGCAAGCTTCCCATCAGCAAGGCAGATTTTTCCCATAGTAAGCCATGCCTGAATATACAAACATGGAGCCTTTTCCTTTATAGATATTGTAGAGCCTGGTAACTGATTTGACCTTGATTCATGAGATCCTGAAGTAATCATGCTGTGTAAAACAGGAACGATGGCCTTTAAATCCAAGGATGGACAAATGATCACCAACGAACCTATGGTGTAAACTGCTGTTGTAGCTTGTAATAGCAACCTCGAAGAGGCAGCAGCTCTTTTTCCCTTTTTAGTACTCTTAGATGGTGTGAAAAGGTTGTTCTCTTTACTAGCCTTTTGTTCTTCTGATAGATACATATCTACAACATGAGAAGCTTTACAAAAGAGTTGCTCAACAGATTTTATAACCAGTGCATCTGCCTCCTGAGGACTCATTGCCTTTCGTTTACACAATGTTTTTAGTGCTTTGACATGAGCATTAACCTGCCATGATATTCAAAACCAGTTACATAGGTACACAAGGCAATAAAATAAGAACACCAGAATGGGTAATTAATAGCAGAGTCAGACATCTACGAAGGATGGTAAGCACTCCGCAAAATAAGTGAAAAAACTTGTAACCAATCATATAATGAGAACTGTCTTTTCTTGTGCTATCAGAAAACATTGTTTTTCTCTAAGAGATAAGTCTAATCAAATTTTAGCTGTTTGCAATGAAAAGACCTAATCAACATCTTAAGTAATGAATTTCTAGATGTTTCACCCTAGATTATTTTCTGGATCCCTATGTCCCTGACTCCCTATAACCTTGTTATTCAGTTTTGGCTGTCTCTAACAAAATTAGGAAGCTTAGGACTGGGATCCAAGAGTATATATACCTATCCTCATGGTAAGCACAACTGCACAAGGATCAAAACTGATGTCATCTTGGATTAAGTGACAGAATTAAATCAAATGCTTCAGGCTCCTATTTGTATTTTACGCGGCTAGCAAAAAATGAATTGGCTTACAAACTTTCTGTGTAAAAACCTAACTAACACTAAACTTCCAATTCTAAACAGCAAACCTTTCATTGATTCAGGGGGAAAAAAGAAAAAGAAAAGTTTTTCAGGTGTAACTTAAAAAGTACTAGTTTATTTGCTAGAGACATTGGGATAAAAAAGCTTGGATTAGACTAGCACCAATCTACTTTGTAACCTTTGACAATGTTTTATTTGATGGAAGGCAGAAAACAGACATCTACTCCCCCAAATAGCTAAAGAAATATGTGACATAAGCTATGTACCTCGGTTGAATGCATGTTGAATTCCTCTATCCGTTTTAGCAGATCATGAGCCAATTGTGCAGCAGGTTCAGGGGACAACTCTACAGAAACATTCGAGATTGTTTGCAACAATAAAACACGATCACAAGCCCAAACTGCAGAGTTTGTTACCATGCCATCAGCTGAATCGTGCATATTGTCCTCCAAAGTATGTGACTTTAATTCATCTGAGGTTACATCCCTGTCCAATAGCTTCCAGTGATGATAAAGAAATTCCCAGTCCACTGATTTACGAAGAAATGATGAAACTTCTGAAAGAAGAAGCCAAGCACCAGGAGGGGCTGTCCAGTTGTCTATTGGCATGGAATGTGATAACCAAAGAGATTCTGATGTTTTAATGATATTCTGAAGGGCAGTAGCAATTTTGGGCCTCAGTTTTCCCTTCTTACCAAGGCTTGCACATATCTTTTTCACCCACAGTGTGACTTCCCCATTACAAATCTCGCTCAATAGATCCAAGACTCCTTCTGGGTACATTGCAGCAAGCTCTTTCTCAAAACACCTACTACTGATTGTCGATTTATTAACTGCCGGTACATCACCAAATGTTGCAGATCCAGCTCTAGAAACTCTATCTAAAACCAGCTCCATAAACAAGCTCTCACACTCTTCTTGAATACTAGTCTCACTATCAATAATCAAGCGCGGAACAGAATGAAGCCACTCTATTACCACACTTCTATCTGAAAATATCCTGAAAGCCTACAAAGCCAGTAAGAATTTCTATACAAGAATAGAATTGAGCTCTACAGAAATCTAAGATGCCACCAAATACTAACATTTAGAAACATATATCACGCAAAGGGTGGATTGCATCACATGAACAGCAGAAAAGATTTTCAAAATATTGAGACACGTGGATCGTTTTTACATTATGTTTAATTAGATAACTTTTAGAGATTGTGAGCTCACCCTGAAGGCAGGTAACCTTCAACCAACCTACATTTCAATTCTGCCATGAACAAAATTTTAAGAAATCTAAGTATTCACGCACTAATAGCTCAATTCAAGCACTGCAAATTTATGTATTTTAACATAACTGTGTTTGCATAGGCATGTAATGCAGGATTGCAGGCACTAAAAGCGTAAGTTCATCATGCCAGAAGAACCATATTTGAACCAAAATGTAAGCTAACCTCAGAAAGAGCTGAAATTGCGGCCTTCCTTATGCTGACAAGTGGGTCAGAACATGCAATCCCCATCATTTTAAGAATGTCAGGATCCATGGAGCTGCCTACTAGAGACATCAATTTAGTTATTAGCAAAAGTGCAGCCTTCCTAACAACTGCTTTTTCATCCGTGCACCTCTTCTTTAAGAAGTCATTCGCTTTACCCTCTACCCCATCATTGAAACCTAATGATTTCTTCAACACCACACGGTCTCTCTCATTGTCGGCTGATGTATTACCCACAAGTTGAGCCAAGCTTGATAAAGCTCTAGCTCGAATTCCTGCAACTGTATCAGAACAACGCAGAACCAATGCCACCAAGCACCTCGATTTCCATGAATCCTCCTCCACTTCACTGTCTGATTCAGAACCTTCTAGGACTTGTAATGACATCATGAGTTTTGGGATTAGTTCAACAGCCAAATGTCTAAGGTGAGATTTTCCATGAGCCATCTTCATAACATAATCAACGAACCCAACTTGATCACAAGATTCCATAGCTATAACAATATCCAATATAGACTCTACAGCTAAGGCCCTAGCATCAGATTTCTCAGGCGCCTTTTGAGCCAAATACCTTGGCAAATTTCCTACAGCTTTATTCAAGGAACTCGAATCTTTTGCCATACCCATCATCTCAATTCTCACAAAACAAAGAGCAAAAGTTCTAGCTTGCGATTTCGTCGACAAAATCAAGGGTGCTAGAGATTTCAATACCTCAGCAGCTGTCATTTCCTGTTCTCCATGCTCAGGCTTCAATATTTGCCTCAAAATCCCAGAACAAAAATCCAATAATTTCTTGCAATTCCCAGAATTATTAGCACACAAATCTAACCCTAACACTGGAATTTCAACTACAGTTTGCACCAAAGATTTCAAACTATCAGGAAACCTACCCAAATGCACCAAACCCAACACAAGCCCTAACTTATCAAGAACACCCAACAACAACCTAATATCAAATTCATTATCATCAGCATCATTCAAGTTTGGATTCAAAGCTTTAGCTCGCTTACCTCGACCTTTCTTTCGCTGCTGTTCATCAGAACCCTCTTTACGATACTTGAGAGCCCGGCGAATGGAGTAGAGAAGAGACATAAAAGACACAGGAGTGAAGAGAGAGAAAACGGGAGCATTAGGAGAGAGAAAGAGGGAGAGATAGACAGCCGATGCAAGGAGAGAGAGGGAAGAGGAACTAGACTCCATTGCAGATGAAATTGGGTTGATAAGAGAGCACGGCGAAAGGCGGCGGGTTGATAACTGATCCCATAGATGATTAATTTGAGGTGTATCGTCATCGAAATTGTGAGATTGGAGATTTAAGAGGGATTGAAGGTCTAAGAGGGTTGAACGAGAGATGGGTGATTGTGGGTCGAGAGATTCGAGGTCTGTAAGAATTCTGGAAATGCTGGTGTCCTCCATTCATGAAATTGCTAGATAAGAGGGTGTTGCAGAGGAAGATTGTAATTTAATTTCTACGTAGTTTCTTGTTGTTGATAAAGAGAGGCGCCATTTTCGAATTTGAATTGGATTTTTGAGTGTAAGTTTATCTCCAAATGGATACTACCTTTTATGCACGGATTTTTTAAATTAATCAATACTAGAGTATACCCGTGCATTTGTCTTCAAAAAAAAAAAAAATTGTATACCCGTGCAAAATGCACTAGATATATAATTTACAGAAAGATATAACAAAAAACGCTGATAACAAAATTATATTTCAACTACAAGAAGTTAATTATTTTGATATAGTGTAATCATTATATGTGACTGGCTATATCGTGTGGGTGGCTATTATGAGAGTTACTTTGTCAGTGTTATAGGGGTTATCCATATAGAGGTCTTAAACTCTTTAACAAAAACTCTCTAATTTAAATTTTTGTAAAATAAAACTTGTTATGAAATATAGTTATGAATGTCCATTATGCGTAGCTTTATAATCCCCTAAACATTATTACATCCCTTAGTAACCTTCTGTAACTCTCTTTGTCTTCCCAGTGTAACTCCTACATTATTGTGACTCTTATTGTTCTTGAGAAATTATTGTATTCACTTGTACATGTATTAACTAATGAAAGATATGGACAATACAATACTCTCTCTACATCTACCACTTTTCTCTTCCTTTTCTTTATTTTATAACACGTTATCAGCACCAAGGCTCTAAGCAACTAATCAAGATTCGAACTCTGCCATAATCTAAGGTATGCTTATATTATGATCTTATTAATTCGTCAAGTTTGTATTGGTAAAAACTATATATATTTATCAACATTAATCTAGTTGAATTTACAATCTACAATATGTACAAATACAACTTATAATAATCATAAGTATATTGTTGTTTCATACATTATTATTCCTGTTGGAAATTAGTACTTCCTCCGTTCTTTTTTACTTGACCCGCTTTGACTTTTACACTATTCATGATCTTTCCTTTGGTCGTCTTTTGTGAATAATATGTAATGAAAAATATATTCATGTGAGATTTTTTTGAGTTCATCTCAATAAAAACTATCATAATATATTACTTTTATAATTTTTACTGATGAAAAATTAAAGTTGTTGATCGTTAAAGTTTTGTATTGATAAGTGTGATAAAAGAAACATGTCAAATAAAAAAGAACAAAATTATGGAGTGGATTGCAAATTTGCATGTGATAAACTATTTTCATGAACATGTGATTTATTCATCGTAGAATGCCAAATATATTACGTCTTCATCCCTTTAATTAATTTGATTGAATAACTTTGTTAGTTATACGATTTTCTTGATTTCACCATGAATTGGTTTTTAAAAATTAAAATTGTGAAGCTATCTCAATTCATTCGTTTAATCATGATATTTATTTAAGCCCATGATAGTATATATGTTTATTCTATCCCTTTAATTAGTTTATGATTTTGGTTTTAGTTTATGATATTCATGATCGATTCTCGCTCCCAATTGCCTTTTAAATTATGCTTTGAATTTTTAATGGTTTATATGGTTTTCTTCACTACATACTTTGATTAACTTGAAAAGTATACAATGAAACAATCACTTGATGAAATTAAAGATCGGCTCCAATGGTTAAATTTGTAACACAATAATAAATTCAATGTTTATTTCTAGTTCACTAGAAAACTAACGTATATGCTTTAATAAAGTAAGATCAACTTTTAAATATAATCATTTAGCCAATTTAAAATTAACTTGTAATTAATGAAACCACAAAATATAAAGAATATAATTTTTATACATACAATAGATCAAAATAAATAAGTCTTAACAAACATCATGATTATTTTTAGTGAAAAGAAAATGAAATCATATCCTCCCATTATATCAGTAGGGTTCCAAATAATTTGTGGTATTTGCTAATATCTTCTAAATTAGATTGATCAATAGCAAATGGATAATACACTTCATTAATGAAGAGAAAAAAAAATCGAAAGCATATAGTTATTGAATTGATCAACAAGGACATACTTCCTCCGTTTCTTAGTTGACACGTTTTTTTAGTCACGTTTGTCAATGCACAAATTCAACCGCTATTATCTTTAATTACCGATTACCAAAAATTACAAAAAGTTGATATTTTGAAAATATACATCGTGACGAATCTAACAAGACTCAATATGACTATATTTTTTTTATTACGTATAAATCACAAAACACGGTCAAAGAAAAGTGTGTGAATAGTGCTAAAGTCAAAACGTGTCAACTAAAAAAAACGGAGGTAGTATATATATATAGGAGCAAAAATTAATCTATTATTTATAGCTCAACAAAGTTTTAAGAAAATACTAATAAATAATCAAAGAATTGATTTTGGGATAATAAAGACTACTCTTGTTAATTAATCGATCATGAATCATAAGACAATGCTCAATATATGACATTTAGATCTTATGAAAGATATCCTTTGATGACTTGTTTGGTTATGATATTAATAGAACCTAATGATCTTTAATTTCATCAAGTGATTGTTTCATTGTATACTTTTCAAGTTATCAAAGTATGTAGTGAAATGTCAAATAATACTATTGGGTTATAATATTGAAAAAAAAAAATCGTAATTAAATATAAATAATACTCATATATATGGACCTAAAGTTCCAAAAAATAGAAAATTATGTAATTTCCTATAAAGTAGTACAAGAAAGCTAAGAAAGGACTAAGATATTAAATAGTTTCTAAATATGTTGAAAATATGCATATGCTCTACTTTTATGAAAATACTATAATCTTATAGACATAATATTAAGAAAATATATTGAATAATTAATATGTTATCTGGTGTTGTTGAATGAACAACATAGTGAAATATGGGTACAAAGAATGTTAATAATTACAACCAATTATATATGTACTCATTCCCAGAAGTGAATGTGAAAATATTTGATAGAAAGGATAACAAGCATGATTGCATGATATTTCTTAATTATAATTCATTTGAAAGTCATGAGCAGTTCAAATGTGATCAAAGATTATCTAATTGATGATGAAATATTATTTTATGATTTTAAGAAAAGAAAAATGGAAACTAATTGACGGGGCGTTAGAACGGTCGCACATTCCACACTCAATCAAATAAATTTATAAATCCTAAAACTAACCCCTAAACAAGTCTAGTGGTAAGTTCGGAGTCGAACCACAAGAAACGGTAATGTTGGATTGTTCTCGATCTAATGCTTAAGCTACGCCGAAGTCGGTTTATGGATAGTGGACACTACAACTACACTAACACACATATAAAGATCAAGATATTACAAAGTCTACTAGGGGCAAAGATCCACTTTGAACAATTAACAAGTTAATGGGAATCGATTTGATAATCAATCATGCAAAGAAAGAATTAAAATGGGAATTAATTACCATCAAGAGCAATCTCTCAAATTCCTAGCCTAGATCCCTCATTGACTAGGTGCATAGAAGAAATTTACCCAAAATGCAATCAAATATATAAATTCTAATTCACAATCCCTTGTCAAACTAGAACTAACATGCAATTAAGTTTGCTATCTTGGGAGATCAATCCAATCTAAAACAAACAACATGCCATCATCAATTCAATCAATTTAATCACACAATTATCATCAAATTTGTCTCAAATAACTCAATTAACCATAACAAAGCTTCACTCAACACCTAGTAGAAGGAAATCTACTCAAACATGATTAACAAAGCGATTAATAAAGCATAAAGAGAGAAGAGAGTAAGAAATGCTCATTGATATAAAATGGAGATCTTCAAATCATCAAATTCCTCCTTTGATTATCCAAAATCCATGAAAACCATTGTGCTCCTCACTTTCTCTCTCCAGAATTTGAGAGTTTCTCTCTCTAAAAACCTAAAACTAACCTAAAAACTATTCTAAACTGAAAAAATCTCCTTTTTCTTAATGAGCAAAAAAAACTATTTATACCCCTTGCAAAATTGCTTAGGAAGCTCCGCAAAAAGTCAGCTGAAACGGGAAAAGGTCCGACCGAACTCTGGATAGGTTCGGTCGGACTCAGGGTAGGTTCGGCCGAACTCAGGGTAGGTTCGGTCGAACCTCTCTGATCCTTGTTTGGTCGAACTTTCTTGGTTCGACCCCTCCTGTAAACATGCTGAAAACTTGGTTGAAACTGTCTTGGAGGTTCGGTCGAACTTTTCAAAAGTTTGACCACACCTTGGTTCGACCGAACCTCTTAAAGGTTCGGCCACACCTCCTCTTGAACTTCCTCTTCTTGCTTCCTCTTCTTCCCTTTTGCTCCTCTAGTCTTTGTCCATGCCTCCATACTTGGCCAAGGGGCCTCCTACCGTGCTTAGGACCGTCATGGAACCTGCAAAAGATAGCAAAGATCACGAGAGCATGGGGATGTTAAAATTATGCATAAAGATTATCAAAACAAGCGCAAATAAGCATACTTTTCATCCATAAAAGAAAAGGAAGCCATAAGAGGAGAAAAGAGGTAGAAAACCTAAGAAAAACAGGAGAAAAGAGACCAATACACTACCCCTAAGGGTAACATAAATGTCACTCATCACTAATATTCCCACCTTTGCCTTTTTTTCTCAAAACAATCCCACTTTCGAATAATCTGAAAATAATCCCACCTTTACCCCTGGTCTGCTCAAAACGATCTTTTTTTACCTAAAACCTGTTTAACAGGTTAATGTTTTTTTTTTATTTTTTTATTTTTACTTTAATTTCCTAATTCTCTCCTCCTACCTCCCACCTCCCTAACCGTTAATGGTAAGTCCACCATAATCACCACCACCAAGCCTCCATAACCATCACCAGACCTCCACCCCAAACTCCCAACCACACCCACTCTCACCTAAAGGTGGGCAACGTGCCGTGCCACGTGCCTGAAGAAGCGTGCCGTGCCATGCCACCCAAAAACGCAGGCCAGCCCACGGCACGGCACGACCCACGTGCTGAGCGGGCTCGTGCCGGGCTGGCCTTCTTTGTTTTTTTTTTTATTTATTTTATTTTTTTTTAATGTTTATACTTTATACTTTTATAGTTTATACTATTATTTTTCTAAAATAAATTAAGTTTAATATTTATGTTTTATTATTTATTATATTTAATATTTATATTTATATTTAGTTTATACTATTACTTTATAGTTTAATGTTTATAATTTATTATATTTATTTTTTGTATCATTA